AGTAGAAATCTGGTCTTGGAAACTTTATTTTTAATAATAAAATTATATTAAAAATTGCTTATTAAATTCTAATTTATCACTTTGCATACTATTAAATTTTAATTATTTAATTACTTTAACCATTAATTTTTTTAATAATGAATTATTTAATTTTTTAATTGTTAATGATTTGATTAGTCATCTTATTCTCTTATTTATTCTTGTTCCTCTTTCCTGAAGGTCTTCTATAGGGCTCTGGTACTTCTAATTTTTGAAATTAAACCCTGCGTATAGCTGACCGTTTTGTTTTTTCTAATATGCTTCCTTAGGGATTATGACAGCCATATACTGGTAAAAGGCCTTAGACCATTTACCAAAGCAAAGATCCGAAATGGTTTATATGGTAAATAAGAGAGTTCGTAAGGAAGGTTATATTGTAAGAAGTTCGTTTGGTATGAAAACTTCAGTTTTTAATTCATAAATGCAGATATTTTTTTTCCCCATGAGAGAAAAGTCCTAAAACTACTTCAACTCAACTGTTTTATTTTGTAAATGAAGATAAAATAGCGCCTGATATGTGTATGTACTAAAGAGGACTTTAATTATTTAGTGAAATAAATAAGGACAAAATACAAAATTTGAAATTGTAGTTTAAAAATATGTTTTTATTTGATTAAAACACTCGAGAGCTAACTGCCTACAAGGAAGGATGGCTTCCTGGAGAACTTTCTAAGGGAAACTGGCTCATATACACATTACACATGAGGAAAAACACGAAAACGCCTATGCAACCACCCCAAATCATGTTTAGAATAAAAATTAATTTGTTATTTATTATCATTTGCGATTATTAGTGGTAAATATGTATTGAAATCCATTTAGAGCAAGATCTGCAAAGAAATGAATGCGGAAGAATCTAAATTCTCAGAAGAGATATGCAATTATCTGATTATAATCAGTAGAATTTGCTTTGAGTTAATCCATATTATGTAACGTTATCAAGTGGCTAAAAGTATAAAACACTGGTAATTAATTCTCCTTTCCTTGATTTGTAGTAGTTGAATGAAATGATCATAAGATAATTTCATGACAAAGAAGCACTTAAAAGTCTATCATGCCTGAAATCTGCTTGAATGTTGAGTCATAAGGGTACAAGATCTCAAAATATATGTTAGAATGTGTCTGCGGTCAAAAAAGGGTTGGAGTAACTCCTATACATTTTGTGTTCATTAAATAATCTTGTACAAATGATTAGGTAAAGTTTTTTAAGTCTTTTGCCATTAGTTGATCCATTAGCATGCTAATATAGTCTAACTTCATGCTTATTTTTACCCTATGTATCAATGATTTCTTATTATATACAGATAATATTAAGTTTTGGTCATTATTCATACTGTCAATAAATCAATATGAAGAATACATTTGTGATTTAAATTGAAAACGATTAGTTCAGTGTTTACAGATTCATGTGATGTAATGAAAGTTTATAATAAAATTAAGAATATTCTATGGTTTTATTTCTTAACCCGCGAGCACACGCAATGGGTATGTCATACCCATGGGCATTTTTCTTTTTGTATATTTATCACTTATTCTTTCATAAAAGGACGAAACTTGGTGTAGCTGAGTTCAAGGCCACATACTTAAATGCGGGAAATTCCTAAGGTGACAGGTGCAACGGTTTTTTAGGAACAGCATTGTTTGGGCATCTCATACCCGCGCGTGTACTCATGTTTCTCAGTGAGTCACTTCGCACTTCTCGTTTTCAAGCTTTTTTTTTTTTTTTTTTTCAAGTATAGGTTTTTCTTGAGTTGTAAGCATGGCGCCGTATATTCCTTACGATGAAGAGATGAAAAGATTGAGAAATATTCTTAAAACAGTTTCTTCTGATGAGGATTCATTTAGTGAAGACGATGAATATGTTGATGACGAAGAATATAATAGTCATCATGATTCATCCATAGAGAGTAGTGATTCAGATACAGAAACAGAAAAGGAAATTTTGGCAATGTAGCAATGAGTTTTATGTTGGAAAAAATGGAGTAAAATGGAACAAAAATAAATTCCGGACTAATGTTAGAATTGGAGCCAAAAATATTATAACTAAACTCCCTAGAAATACGAAGTATTCTAAAGACGTCTCAACACCTTTAGATTCCTGGTCACTGCTTATCGATGAAGATATGTTAAAACATGTAGTCGACAATACAAATATTTATATTGATTCAGTACGTGGAAATTTCACTCATGAACGGGATGCGAAAGCAACAAATGAGTTGGAAATCAAAGCTTTAATTGGATTGCTGTATTTATGTGGAGTTTATAAATCATCCCATGTGAACGTAAGAGATTTGTGGGCAACAGGCAGAACGGGAATGGACATATTTCGGGAAACAATGTCAGTGAACCGATTCCTCTTTCTTTTACGATGCCTCCGTTTTGATGACATTAGAGATCGTCCCAGTAGAAGAGACGTTGATAAATTAGCTTCGATCAGAGAATTTTTTGGAAATTTTGTCACAAATTGCCAAAAGGCTTATACTTTAGGAGAGTATGTGATCATTGATGAGAAGTTGGAATCATTCAGAGGTCGTTGTTCCTTCAAACAAAATATGCCCAACAAGCCAGCAAAGTATGGCATAAAAATATTTGCTCTTGTAGACGCAAGGGTATTTTATACCTGGAGTATGGAAATTTATGCTGGTAAACAACCAGATGGGCCATTTCAAGTTGAAAATGGTGCAAGCGAAGTTGTCAAACGTTTAATAAGGCCCTTATACAACTCTGGTCGAAATTTAACAGTTGATAATTGGTATATGGGATATGAATTATCTCAAGATCTCCCAAAGAAGAAAATTACGATAGTAGGTACAATGCGTAAAAATGAGAGAGAAATCCCACCTGAGTTTCTGGCAGAGAAAAGAGAAGTATATTCTTCAATTTTCGGTTTTCAGAAAGAAGCAACACTTGTATCTTATGTGCCGAAAAAAAAATAAGAGTGTGATCCTGTTATCCACAATGCATTCCGGCGATCAAATCGATGAATCTACTGGGGAATCTAAAAAGCCTGAAATCATTACATTATATAACATGACAAAAGGAGCAGTCGATGTTGTAGATGAGATGGCAGCTGCGTATTCTACAGCAAGAGTAGCACGTCGATGGCCTATGGTGATTTTCTTTTCAGTGTTAAACGTGGCTGCCATTAATGCAAGAATAATTCTACTATCAAAGAAAGAACCACCAACGGAATACCATACCAGGCGTACTTTTCTCAAAGCCTTAGGGATGCAGTTAATAGAAAGTGTTCAAAATGAACGACGACGAGCATCTGTAGTTCCTGATTCTAGACAAACACTGACCACCGATGAACATGTTAACAATGAACCACCCCCAAAAAACCTAAAATTACTTACAAGAGGTGTACAGTGTGCCCCAAGAAAAAGATAGAAAGACTAGATACATTTGTGAAAATTGTAGCAAAAGTACGAGTATATGTATGGAACATATGACCTCATTTTGTAAACAATGTTCAAAATATTGTAAGTAAATAATTTTACCTCTCCTTATTCTTTCATATTTTGTCTAAAATGAAGTATTAACTTGGTTTTACATTTTAATTTCTTTTAAAAATCGATTAATTTTATTCGGCAAATTTTTAATTACAAACGTTTTATTCGGGTATGACATACCCGGCGCGTGTTCTAGTGTTCGTCGGATCGGTGCGTGTGCTCGCAGGTTAAATGAAACTTTGTTTTTCCTCTGGAAAAAAATCCAAATAGCTTTATGTAAGAATCATTAAAGAGATCTTCATCAATAACAATGTGTTAATTAATGAAAACTATATACTTGTGTCTATATCAATAATAAGGCCCTTATACAACTTTACAAACTCTTTCCTTTGAAATCTGTGTATAAGCCTTAGTAATCTCAAGGTGTGAGATTTATAATGTTGTAATATTCTGAAAAGTCGCTTGACTTTAATATGTATGCAAGTTTCATGAAAAATTAAAAGCTGTATAATTTGCATCCATACATAAAAGCAAGAGCTATGTATACATAAATTCTACAGTTTTACTGTGTGGAGCAAATCAACAAAAGCATTATCAAAGCATCACTATCAACAGTTTCATCACAAAACAACTACATTGCAGAGCATGTTTCCAAAGTATATCAATTTTTTAAAGTACTGATTCTACTGAAAATGTATTGTTTACAAGATAAATAAATAGCTCTTGCATGCTTCGCCACTTTATAAAATTTTTAAAGATTTTATTTTTATTTCTGTTATTGGTTGTCATATATCTGCATACTTTTGCAGCCCAATGATTTATTTACTGTATGAAATTTATTAATCAATTCTCTTGGAATAATTTAAGTTTTCACTATTCATAAATTGTTATTGTAATCACTAGCGATTCAAAAATGCTCGATAACAAAATACAGTAGCATTTTCAAAAACACTAAGATTTACACTTATATGAATTTAAGAATTTTAAAGCACTTATTATATTTTTGTGGCATTTTAAATCATTTATTTAAAGAAATACCAGCATACTCTGATTTGTCAGCAGATACTGAATTATGATTTTCCTTTGTAATAATCAAGTGCGATTGTTATTCCTATTATGTTCTCTATCTGTATATGATGTTACTATCTATATTTGACTGAATCTGTAACTGCATATTTCATGCTGAAACTTTTAGTTCTTTTGCACATATTGTTGTGATACGTCCTAATAAACACATTATATGTCGATGTTTTGTAAAATGATGTTGCTAACTGTACTGTATGTGTACCATCAACTGGAGAACTTTACACTAATAATTTAGTAGTGAAATACTGCGACAGAATATGAGATCAAAAACTGATTAATAAATTACTTGTGTAACTAGCAAGGATGAAGTAGTGACAAGATTAAGAGCATTTTAAATTTATATACTGTTTTTAATTCATCATATTTTAATTTATAAACTATTTAGAGATTATTTTATATACAATATATTTACATGATGAGATATCAATATATATGATCAAAAGAATCATGAATTATAAGAGTTTCATTATTTCCAATGGCATCTATAGCAGCTTTCTTGTATGAAGTTGTTGCAATATTTTCAGTACTGCATGGACTTTTTCTTTTCTTTCTCGTAAAAAAGAAATTCTTTTGTTTCTCTGCTTTTTTATTTGTAGGTTCATAGTTCACCATTTTCAATTTCGGCTTTTCGTTCTTTAATTTTGTAATCACTTTATTCAGTGTGTTTTCAATATCTCCCAAAGTTATATTATTTACTGTTGTTGATGTTACAAGTTTTGATATGATACTCAGTTGATTTATAATATGGTGCTTGGTTCCTGATTTTTTTAATTTTTGTGCTGATAGATCAAGAAAGGGTTTTACATCATTTGATTCTTTAGTTTTAGCTGACTGTTCTCTATTAAGTAATCTTGTCTTTAAAATTATTGCATGTATATGTTTACAGACACTTCCTTTAATCGTGGCATCTGTGCATGTGCATACAAATGCATCGTTACAAATTTTGCACCATTTACAAACAATGTTACAATTAATGCATTGTGTATGTATTTGAGTAACAGTATATTCAAGAGTAGGGTCACTTTCTGAAATCACATGCCAAGAAAACTCATTGATTTCTGTGATATTATTAGCTGGAAAATTTATTGCTCTGTTGTGTCGTAAATTTGTTTGGTTGATCTTTGATGTGTTTGGCCCTTTTGTTGTTTTGATAAATCTCTGGAACCATTTATCTTGCACCATATTAATAAGCTTCGCAATGCACCTATCAACCCTCTTGTTTTTCAATCCATCAAGATAAGAATATTTTAAAACTCGATGCAGTGCTTCAAGATGATTGTTAGTTGTGATGATGTTACATCTTTTTCTATAACATTTAGCCCACAACTCGCATCTGTTTGCATAATTTGAAGCAAAATAATTAGCAAACTTGTCTGTATCTCTATCAGCAAAGAGTTTGCTGAGGAAATCAGATATCAGTGCTTCAAATTCTTTTATATCATGACATTCAGATACTACATTTAAAAATTTCAAAACTTCCTTTCGCTTTGAGGGGATAATTGAATTTGCTGCTTGCAGCCATGCCTTTTTAACGTGCCAGGTGCATAGAATCCTAAATTTGGCATCACACATTACTGATGTCCATGCAGTATAATATACTGGTGCATCATCACTCATAAAGCAGTTTACAGACAGCAGTCCAACTTTGTCCCTAATACACTGAAAAAATTTTTGCATTGAACCTAAATTTACTCTATTGCTTAGGCAAAAAGCAGCAGGAAATCCTGAATTAAACTCGTCTATGACTAAAACTGTCGATAATTGAAAATCGTAAGCATTAGTCCCATGTGTGCTATCGATGCATATGCTATCGGATCCAAACTTTAAAAGCATATGCTTTTGAACATTTGTCATTATGATGATGCAGAAGTCACTAATTTCCAAGTGCTGATCTGCTGCTTCTCCTTGGAATTTTACAAAAAGAACTGAATTATCATCTAAACATTTCATTTTTTTCTATCCAGATCCTTAAACTGACAGCATCAGTTGGATGATATTGTTCATCATTACCAATACAGTAAGAATTAGAAATGTTATGTATGTCTTTTTTTTGTCAATAAATGCTCCCTGCAAATGTCTTCTTTAATACTATTCCTTGTGGAATCTAATATTTTCTGTGGTGGAATGCCTTCATTTAACTTACCTGAAAATATTGCATTTATATGATAATGTTGTATAATAATGTCTGTTTTATATTGAATTTCACAATCAAGTTCATAAAGAAACTTACCTGCAATCACTTCTCGCAAATCTTTTGTTAACGGCAAATGTTCTAGATCTACTGTGTGTCCCACGTGTGTTTGGAAATATAAAATCTTAATAATGCCATTACTGGTAACTTCAATAGTAGATGGACAGTGCCCCTCTATTTTGCAGGTACCTTGTGATTTTATAGCTCTTACACCTTTACTTTTAGAATTATAAAATCCAGATCAATTACAAAGGAAGTAACTCTTTTTCCCACCTTCTTTAAGAGTTATTGTACTTCTCAAAAAGTAAGAAATTTTTTCCCTTCGTTCTTCCTCACTTTTCCATTGTAAGAAATCTAAATTTGAAGGGTAAACATTAGCCTACATACAATATAAAAGCCCATTATAATTGTGAACTAGTTGAATTTTTAAAAACAAAATTACTAATTTAAAACTAACCAAAATCTTATTTTGGCACTGATTGTAAATAGATACTGGTCACTTTAGCAGAATTTTTTTCTCTTCAAGAAGAGGGACCTGTGTCTAATTGCTCTCAAAACTGATAGTTTTATTTAAAATCTACACTGAAATAAAGTTGCCTAATTTTAAGTCAGGGGCGTAGCTAGAGGAGGGCATCTGTCCCCGGGCGCAGATTCGAAGGGGCACCAAACTGATGTTACGACATTTTAGAATTAAATGTTTTCCATCCTTGGCAAGCAGTAGAGGGTGCGAAACCTTCAGTTGTCCCTGGGCGCTGAAAACCCTAGCTACGACTCTATTTTAAGTTGTACATTGGCATATTTTTCTTCCTATTTGACAGTTACTAGTACTCATGTTCCAGCTAAACTAGACTTAAAACATATTCCCCAAAGTTGTATAATAATGCAAGAAATTTATTCTTAAGAGACAAATTGTCATCAGACATTTTCCATAGCATGAGTGTCATCTGGCCTATGTCTAAAGTAAAAAAACATTGTAGCCTGTTTCTTGATAACTGATACAATGTGTATAGGTTATTAAAATTTTAAGACATTGAATAAATTTCTTTAAGTAGTTTTAAAATAACATATAATAAATTTTAAGCCTCATTTACATATAATAAAATAAGTGTCTATCATTATGATACTAAACTTACGATTGAAGGTTGCCACTTTAATAAAGATTTTAACAATTTTTTATTAGGTCCACATTATTTTTGATATCTTCATCATACATATGCATTAAGAGATCCGTTTGTGTAATAACAGGATAGTCTTTTTTTTAATGAAGCACTGAATTACATGTATAAATAATTATGTAGCAGTACATCTCTATATATGTTTTTATTATTTAGAAAATGTTTACTTCATATTTCAAATAGTTGAGGAAGAGAAATATTACTTAATCTTAATATTATTAATAATAATAATCATTTGAAATATTTTTACTGAAGAATAATGGGGGTTTATCAGGCTAACAGAAAAAAGCAAGATGCTAAGGAAATTATTCTGTTATCAATTATACTCACAAAAATAGATGTATTTTATTCCCCAACTTGATGAATGAATTTGCAAAAATAGTAATTTGTACTTAGTTTGGGGTAATTCAAATTAAAAACGTTTATCGCAGAAAATGCAAATTTCTAATATCTTACCTTCATATGTATTAAATGTCATTTCAACGGAGTTAAGAGTGTATCCATGTTGATCTCTTGCGTGATTTCTTAACTCTTCAAACGTTCTACATGAAAAATTGCAAGCATTAATAGGACATTTCAAATTTCCTTCAGCCACAACAGGTACTTTATGTACTTCCCGAATGTGTTCATATAAAACCTTTTTCTTTTTGTACTTTTTGCAGCAGCAGTACATACATTCAAATACTGCTATCTTTTCATATTCCATTGTTATAACAAAAAGTTATGTACTACAATAGAAAATAAAAAACTTATTTTGTCATCAGAAATATTAAAAAATGAATAAAAACTGTAGCATATATTAAAATATTTAATGTTTGACACAAAAAAAAATGGTAGCATATGATATTAAAATATTTAATGTTTGACACAAAAAATGGTAGCATATGATATTAAAATATTTAATGTTTGACACAAAAAATGGTATAAAATATTTAATGTCTGACTGAAACTAACACGGTTTGCTATTCTGAAACATTTTTCATTTTCCTTTGTTCAACAAAGGAAATTTCCGCTAAATTTTTCTGTTCTCAAAAGGCAATATATGAAAAATAAATAGATTACAAAAAGTTTGTCTCAAAAATAAATACTTTACAATAATTTGTAATCACGTGTTTAATTACAAGCAAACAATATCTAAATTACCAATTAAAATATTTTATCAAAAAATTCTTTTAGCTCGCCAAAAATATCACTGCAGAGCTCAGAACCAACCGAAAATGGCAGGTATCCTGTGGGTAAATCTAAAACCCCCGTTTTTTGACGTTCGTACAAATTCTGCGATTAAATTAGTCGTAGTGAGCAAATCTCGAAAACGGAGATCGCGTCTTTCTCGCAGAGAAACAATTTTCAGGATGTGCGCATGCGCTAAAAATCTGTCATGTTCTCTGCGACGATTTCAGAGCTAGTGTTCACCGCTCACTAGCCGACGATAAAATCGGCGACTCTAGCCAATTAGATTGCTTCCAGAGATCACGTGCTTTTCTCTCTCATTTTGGAAACATGGCGCTTTTTCGTTGGAGCGAAAATCAAATTTTTCAATTGATTGATTTTTATAGAGACCATGCTGTGTTGTGGGACACAAATAACATAAATTATAAAAATAAAAAGTTAAAGGATTCCCTTATTTTGGTAAGTTATCTTCCCGTTACTTTATCATCAAATATTTTTTTATTCGTGATGAAAATTATTTTATGTTGGTTAAACAAATTACAGCTCAATTTAATACAATATTGCTCAATTTTATTAGCTGATTAACTGATATATCAATATGATTACAGTTTTCAGAACTGTATTAGTATTTTTTAATTATTCAGTATCATATGCTATTTTAAGATTTTGCATATTTATATTTCTTATTTGAAATTTTTGTATTGAAATTACACTATTCCTTTCTACTATAGTAATCTTTATTCTTTATTTGTTCTTTTTACTCATATTGTTACGGTTTTCATAACATTATTGTCTATTTATTTAATAGTAAAGGTTATCATTTAAAGCACAGTAGTTATTTACTTTTTCTGAAGCATGGTTATTTTAACATTTCAGGACTTAAGCACACAAATATGCGTTCCAGAAAATGAAATTAAAAAAAAAAAATGGAGTAATCTGCGTACTCAATTTACAAAGGAGAAACATAAAAGAAAAAAAAAATTATACATCTGGTGCAAGCACTGCAATGCAGTACAAATCGGCATGGCAATTTTACACATCGTTACAATTTTTAAGTGATGCCGTGTCCTTAAGGAATACTGTGACTTCTTTGGTAAGCCATTACTTTTTAAATTTATATAATTTGGCTTATAAAGTAAATAATTTCCCTTTACTATTTGAAAATTTATAGAATTGTTTTTAATATAGGCAAAACTTTAACAGTTTTTGTGATAAATAAAATAATATTGTTATACATAGTTAGCTGTGTAAATTATATTAGCCAAATGTGCTAAAATCTGTCGACCATGAGCATAACAATACTTTAGGCAACCATGCTCATAAACATTCCTTCAGTCAAGCAACATTACCCTCATTCTTTTTCATTTATAAAAATTTGCCAAACTTGAGGTGGTTACGCTAATATGTTAAGTACTAAAAAATAAAACACTTATGAATTTGCAAAATGCTTCTCTAACTTTTAGCGTTATTCTTTTCTCAATGTACACAGTGATCTGTTTTCACTTAAAAAACCAATAAATTGCATAAACTTGTACTGCACATCAACTGTTTACCAAACACATCTCATCGCTGTTTGCGTTAACAGTTTTGTGACAAAATACTATATTCTGCAGAATTTTTACTGCAGTTTCTTCCATTGCTGGCAGATTCCACAAGTGATATTATAAAAGTAAGTTAAAAGTTCCCAAGTCCCCAAAAAAATTACGATGTCTGTCAAAATCATTAGAATTCCAAATACAACAAAAATAACACAACAATTGAAACATTGCTTGACTGAAGGATTTTTATGTGCAGAGTATGGCAATTTTTATTAAGGTGGTTGAGATAATATGCGACTACCTCTAATTTAAAAATATTAATAGAGAAACATGAATTCTTATTGCATTTTAAGTAATTATTACTATCAAAATCTTACTCATATTGTTCAAGTTTTTACAAGTAAATGAAGTCCAACCCCGCTTCACATTGAAAAGTTATAAAAATATGGGATGTACATGCACAGATACTGTTCTTTTAAAAACACTCAAATTATTTCTTTTTACTGTAGTAATTATTAGCTTTGCTTTCTTCTCAGTTTTTTATATATATATATATTTTTTTATTATATATATTATATATATATATATATATATATACCATTTTCAATGATAAACTTATATTCACAGCTAAATCAGACATAAGTTAGTCAATATTTTGTTACTTTTAACATACTTAAACATAAGCATTAACTTCTTATATATTTTCTTTTAAATATATGTATTGCATGTTTTTATTGATACCAAATACGCTACAACTTAGACAACAGAATTACGAGGTTTTTTTCGTATTCTTATTCAAGATATTTGACTATTCAACTTTGATATCTCTTGAAAAATCAAGCTTAGGAAATATATTCATTATCCTTATAAATATTTATTTCTGCATGTTTTCCCATAGCTTGTTAATTATGATTTGTTATATATGAATGAATGATAGCTGTAATAGTAAAAATTAAAGTGTTATTTTAATTTTCAGGATTTTAATGATACTAGTACACAAGAAAGAAGTGCAGAAGTTACCAGACATTCTGAGATGTTTGACATCAACGATTTTGAAGACACTGAAGAGACACAGAGAGAGGAAGAGTCACAGAAAGAACTATGTCATTCACAAACACAGCTAAAAAGACACACATCAAACACTACAACTTCAAACAAAAAACAGAAACACGATCACATTTACACAGCAGCCACAACAACACTTGAAGAAATTTCTACAATATTAAAATCAAAAAACACTACTCCAAATACATTTACACAGTTCGGTTCCTTTGTTGGTTCCGAACTAAGTCTAATCCGTGACCCTCAACTCCTCACAGACACAAAATATAAAATATACCAAATTCTCACAGATGCACAGACAGAACAAAATGTATTAGATTCCATGAACAACACAGAATAAATAAGAAACTTAGATATATTTTGTAACATAGAATAAAAATAATTATAAATAATCTTTATTTCTTTATCTTTATATTATAACATATATTGAGAAATTAATAATATTTTATATGTTTATCTTGCCACGCAACTTTTCCTTCATTATTTACATAATCACAAATGTTTTCTCGCAATCAGCCTTGCTTCAGCAGACCCTGTGTTATAACCATTTTGTTTACACAGGGATTTCATCTTACTTAGCGATTCCTCATTTCGCCATGATCCAGGTATAAAATTAAAGTCCTCATCTTCATGATCGATTAGTTCTCTTGGTGTATACAATTGCCTGGACGGTCTTTCTCGTAGAAAGTTATGCAAACAGCAACATACAGAAACAATTTTATCAACTGTCGCAGGAGGCAGCTGTATTGGTTGCATCAAGATACGAAATCTATTTGATAATATCCCGAATGCATTTTCAACAACACGCCTTGCCCTGGACAGTCGATAATTGAAAATCCTTTGCTGAGGAGAGATTTTTTTACCAGGATATGGCCTCATCAGATAACATTTCAAAGGAAACGCCTCATCTGCAACCATAAAATAATTCACAGGCTCACTACCTGGAATCAAAGGTGTTGGGCTGGGCAGATCAAGCAAGTTATTGTCTAGCATCGAAAATAAACTTGTTTGGGCAAAAACTCCTCCGTCTGATATTCGTCCATTACATCCAACATCAATAAATGTAAATTTATAATCTGCATCAACTGATGCCATCAGCACAATGCTGTTGAAACTTTTATAATTGTAAAAAGTGCTGCCACCCCCTGCTGGTGCTTTTATCATAACGTGTTTTCCATCGATGGCACCAACACAGTGTGGCAGGTTCCACTTTTCAGCAAAAGCTTCTTCTATGGCTTTGCCACTCCTGAGCAGTGTTTGGTGTCTACGAAATGAGAAAATAAGTATTAATTATGAAACTGAAAAAAGGATGCGAATACAAAATATAAATGCAGAAAATGCTATTTGAATATTGGCAAATAGTAAAATCAAATATTTTATCAACGAATATTAGCTACTCATTTGTTATAATAAAATTCACATCAAGAGAATAGATAAAAAAATGTGCTTATATATTTTGGTTGTGTTCCTATGTTTCACTTTTTATCTAATTTTTCCCCATTTTTTCTCTCTTGTTTTTGATTAAGCTACACCATAGATTCTATTTAAAGTTTTTAAAGTAATGAATGTGTCAGATACAATAAATGGAATTAAAGCTAAGTGACTGTGGGTAAATGAATGTTTTTGATCACAATACCCATACAGACAGAAAAACTGATAATTTTTGGAAAATAAATGATTAAAAAATAAGCTGTTGTTGTACAAACAATAATACAATAAACAAAAAGTGCTTATGCTTGTTTGTACACAAAAACAGAATTTTCATTTAAACAACATGTTTAAACATTTTATAACTGAATATATATGCTTCTTAATTTGAAGAAAACTCAAAACTAAAAGTGTCTATTGAAGAATTTTGGATGAACCCATAGGTGGTCAATTTAGCAGATTCATTATGTGTTTTATACAGGGTTGATACTAGGTTGTCAATTTGCTGACCAATGCAATCTCTGCAGTTCCTACATTCTATTGCTAGATGCCTCCCTAATTATAAAACAATGTTTATTATGTTTATTATGATTTTTCCAAAATCAAATAATCATATCTCTTCTTATAAATTAAAATTTTATTTAAATATACTGAAAAGCATAACAACATTACGACAGACTAACACTCACATTGAAAATGGTTCATTCTAGAATTTGAGTCAAATTATAATCTAGAGCATGGACCAACAAACTGGTGCCTGCAAAACAATTTTAAAATTTTAAGAAGCTGACGAGATATTTTAATGTTGAGTGGGAAAAACAATTTCATTTATAACTTAAAATTATTTTCTTAAACTGTTGGTCGCGACCCCCATGGAGGTCGCCAAAACATTTTAGCAGTTTTTGATAATCCTTTAACTTATTCCAATAATTTTACAATTACCAAATATTTTTACACAATGTATCTGAAAATAGATAAAGATAAGGCAATACATAAAGTTCTCTTTCTAACTGAACAAAAATCTGATTTTGCGAATTTATTTCATAATAAGTTATGGCTACAAAAGCTGCGTTATTTGAGTGACATATTTGAAAAATTAAATGATCTAAATTTGTTGTTTCAAGAAAAAGGTTGCAACATAGTCATATTCAAATTAAAAATTGATGCTTTTATTAAGAAAATGACCATATGGAAAACAATGATGGAAAAGGGTTTGTTAGAAATGTTTGTTGCAACAACTGAATTTTTAAATGAAAATGATGAAATAGATAAACCAAAAAGATGACTTGTTGAAAAAAATGATAAATGAACATCTTTGATGTCTTGAGATAAACTTTAAGAAATATTTCCCTTCAAATTTTAGTGTCAAAGAACTAATATGGATTGTGAAACTATTTAGAATTAATGTGGAAAATATTACTCATTTGCCATTAAAATCACAACAACTTGCTGATTTATCAAATATTTCGGGATTGAAACTTTATCTTTAATACGAAGACTTCAGAAGATTTTTGGCTAGCAATTGCAAAAGATTTCCAACAATTTCTGAAACTGCCATAAACTTTTACCTTTTTCTGCAACATATTAGTGAGAGACATTTTCATCTCTAACCACCATAAAATCAAAAGTGTCAATCAAAAAAGTTTAAAAAGCCCTGATTTATTACATGGTAAAAAGTGCATGCTTATGCAACTGAAGTATAATGGTTAGTGTAAAATATAACTTGGAGAGACATTTCATCAGTACGGTGTTTGCATAACATTTTCAAGAGAATGTTACATGAGTAATGAAATTCCAATTGCTATACTAAATCTCTCTCTGCTAGTACTTACAAAGAAAAAACTCAAAGTTATCCGTTATCCAGATACCCCAATGCAACTATTATTTTATGACTTTAATTGTAAATAGGTTACTTAAATTTAAATATCGCAAAGCCTCGAGGACTATCTGTGTAAGAGGAGGGATACCTTCGTAGAGGCCTTTCTAAGGGAAACTAGCTCATATTTATGTTACACATGGGGTAACCACAAAAACCAACCATGCAGCCAACCTGTTCGCCTGGGACGGAACCCAAGCCAGGTCGAACTACCAGTATTCAGTTGTCTTAACCACTCAACCACTGGTGGGGCTCTTAATTCTAAATAGAAAATTATACATTGCACTCCTGTAATACTCTTTTTAAATGAATCACATTTCAAGGAAAACAAGCTCTGAAGTTAATTCAATATTACAAATTTGAGAAAAATTCAACTTAACATTAGTATCCTGATCCTGTAAAAATGAACATTTTTTTTAAAAATTAAAAGGTCATGATGTTGTTGTGAATTATAAGACCTCATATGTAACATTATATTAAGTTTTAACTCACCTTTATGTAATCTTGCATGCATTCCCATAAAGCATCCAATACTTCTGGTATCACTCTTGACAATGTTTGTTTAGGTATTCTAAACAAATACTGTAAATTTGAATAGGAACACCCTGTAACATAATAAAAAACTTAAAAAATAAATTTATTAAAAATGATGTAGTGATATAATTATGATATTTATTCATTATAAATTTCTCAAATTTTAAAAAATTGTGGATTAAAATTATTGTTTGAATTTGTATTTCAATTTTTGTGAATTTGATTTATTAATTTTATCAAAATTAATTGATTTTTTTTTCAATAAAATAAAAATTAACTTACCACCAGCTAGAAAGCGTAAAGTAACATGCAGCCTCTCAGATGGTGAAATTGCACAACGCATAATCGTATCCTGTTTTTTAATTTTGCTGCTCACTAAGTTTAATAAATAATCAAAATCGCACGGCATCATTCGCAAATACTTTCCAAATTCCACCCTGTCTTCTTCAAAACGCAGCTCTTGGAACAGGGTATTATGGGCTCCATGAATTTCTCTGCGTTTCACCCAATTTCTCGTCCAAATACGCTTTCTTTCTTTTTCTTTTTCTTCTTCTGCTGCAGCAGCAGCAGCGAAGATCAAAATCGCAGATGTTGCTACAGTAGCAATTAACGGGAAATCTTCATCCATTTTTATTA